ACGAGATTCAGTGTTCTCCGCAACCCCGGGGAGATGGAGCTTCAAATTTTCTGGAGCGATTCTGTGGTGAGGGAGGAAGAAGTATACCGAATTTTGTTCCTGATGATGCTCTCAGAGAGGAATACGAGGAAGTTGAATTTTGCTGCGGGAAGGGGTTGCAGAAAGGTAATAAGCGCTACCAAAGTCTATCTCCCGGAAACAAAGAGCTGGGATTCCATTCCGAACCAGAACGGATATCAGAGCGTAAAGCCAGGAGCGTGTCGAAGGCTTACCGAGAATCTGGGAAGCTCAGAGGTGTGGCGACTGAAACGACCGAGGCAGTTTCAATTCTCAGCGCAGCCGAGAGTAACTATGCAATGCGCATGCGCAAACAAAATATGCATATCTCGAAGCCAGGTCTTATATCTGGGATTCGCCTATTCTCTCCGGGCTCTTGCTACGTTAGACTAATCTCTACTTCACGGCTCCTGTTGCACTGTATCGGTTTCCTTTCAAATAAGCGAAAGTACTCTAGCTCTATCTAGATGCTGTCCGGCCACTCTGCATCGTTTATATCCTTAGGGCCATTCTCACTTGATAGCATTGCGGTTCGACCGAGTAGAACGTCAAGTAATGTTCATACGTGTCTCGTGCGCCAAGATACATATTGGACAACTCGTGAAAGGGGAGTTTCCGTTATTTTCCGCCGTGAGCCACTTTGGGTGCGCATCGTCTGAATGTTATGGGACGACAATTTAAAGTTTTTTCAGGGCCCGCTTTACCCCCACCTGGCCTCGGTCCCACTTCCTTACCTACGTATTAATCATTTGCCACCCCATCCGTTCGCTTCACTTTACAATTGATCTCCCGTACTCGTACGTGATCCGGCCCTCTTGTGTTGCCTGATTGCCGAACGAAACAGATGAGATACGTTTGGGACTGCGGATGGCATCGCACCGAGTCTGGCAGTTGCTTCATTTCCGCATTTACAGTTCACCCTGCTCATGAGTCGACATACCTCCTCTCGTCTGGCACGCTCCACTTTGGCCGAGGCGGATTGGGTCTGGCATTTCGAGGGCAGCAAGTGGTGGAGGCGGAAATGTTTTTGCAGATTGCAAGTTCCAATTACTGCTTCCCTCGGGGAGGTGAAGGACGCGAAAAACGTGGCGTCGGAGACCGGAACCGAATCATCGCATTCTTGGGTTAACCGAGTCTGAAGAAAGGGTTGTTATATATGATGGGTCATTCATTACGAACTCAACCAATATAATAGAAAATGGCGCCCGATCATCCAACATTTAGGGGTAAAAAAGACTAAGCGGTAGCAGTCGATCTAACTGCGATTTGCTCAAAACAACGTTTAGAGTCCTGAAATACCTTTACAGCGGCGTATAACAGGATCGTATTCAGCCACTTGAATAAAATGGGAATTATTGGAATAGGCAAGTATTGACAAATAAATTATTTTTTACGAAAATGGCGCAGAAAATCATACATCGTTGAAAATATCTTTACCTCCCCTTTCTAATGACACCATTCTTGATATCATAGGCGCTCCGTCACATTGAAAAATACTCGGCCAAAGATGACCAAATCAGAAAATTCGAATTTTGAGGTGAAATTTTCCATGTAGGGGAAGATGGGGTAATACGGGATACCTAAGATTTGGAAGAACTTGTAGGCCTGGAAATCGCATCTAACGCTTCGAAAATTGTCATGTTGGTTGAAAATGCATCTGACTCGTATCAAATGAAAGCATTCTATAAAAGGTGGTAGGGGAGGAGAAATCGACCGTCTGGGATTCGAAATCTGAAAAGTAATGGTTGTAGGGGGTCCCTAGGGAAGTGCAAAGAGGTGTCGCACAGTCACCTCCGACCCATAGTTTGGCCAAAAGTCACTGCCAAAGTTGCCGCTAGATGGCCATTTGATGAGTCGAATTCAAACGACTACAACTCAGAAACTGTTGGCCAGAGGAACCTGCAAGTAACATATTTGAAAAGCTAAGACAATCTACTTTTAAATGAGGGGTTGAGGTTCAAGCTGACTTAAAAAGATCAAAGGTCAAACGGCCATATAACTGGGAATAGCCTAATTTTTTAGAACAGTATTTCGACCGCCATTCAGGCCACAGATCCACCACAGACAAAAGCATGCATGTGATTTTAGAGGACATATCCTTTGATCTGTACACCAAATCTCATGGGCCTTGTACAGAGCATTTTGGAGAAAAGTACCGAAATGTGCTCGAAATTAGGGGAAAAAACACTACTCCACTTGGTTTTTTGTTTTTCTCAGCTTCAAGGCAAAAATCAGGAAATGTTCTCTGATAGATCGATAGGGAAGCATATCTAGATTGCAGGGATGCCAGAATCGTATTTATACCTGAAGGGTTCCTTCGGAAAGTTTATTCAAAGTTGTGCATTTTTTAAAGAAAAATCGCCCCCCACTGGCCCTTGACAATACCATCACCAGAATGCATCGCCAGACACATGTGGGTGAAAAATCACGCCAGATTTATTGATAGATCGATAGATATGAATCTTCGGAAGGAGTCTATACAAAAATCACCATGAAGTCTACCCAGACTCCTACAAAATAAATTACGTTTCTGACGGATGAAAATCGCCCCCCCCTCATCTCTGCCAACATTTACGCGCTTGCCACAGAATGCAAGCCCTGGCTCCTCAAAAGCAAAAATCACAAAATCTTCTCTGATAGATCGATAGAAAAGACTCTCTGGATGGCAGTGAGACTTTGCTCGTCTCTTTGCGGTGGATGGTTTGCTCAGAAAGTTCATTCAAACCAAAATGATATTTTGCCCCCCGTTCAACAAAGGTGTCAAAAAACGTCCGAAATCGCTTTTCAGATGTAACTCGTGAAATTTTCTCTGATAGATTGATAGATAAGAGTGCCTGGAGTGCGTGGATGCATTCATCTTTACGATCTATGCTCTGGTTTCTTTGGAAAAGTCTTGCAATGATGTCGAATCATAGGTTGTGATTTTGGTAGGTCTCAGTAGAGGCTGACCTCTCCATCATTCCAGGAAAAAATTTGAATTTGGTCTCCTTTTTCGGGAATTCGTTTTCAAGTAGTGATGTAAAATTCTTGATTATGCATGTTCGGTTTGTTGATTGGCTTTGGCTAAAATCTCGTTTTGCTGCGTTTTTCCTTTTCTGAATATGCTATGAATGACGTCACAAGAAATCTGTATGTGTGTTCTTACAATATTTCCGTTGCGAGTGCACAGATCTTGAGCATAAAAATTCCCTATGATTCGACATCATTGCAAGACTCGGGCCATCCCAAGGGAATAAAGACAGAAATTTGGTGTTGCAGGCATAAATACATTTCTGTCAGACTCACTGTTGACGTATCAAAAAATATTCAATGATTTTGCAACAGAGACACCCGATTGGATGCACTGATGAAAGCCCGGTCAGGTGGAGGCGGGTGGTGGATATCCTACCAGAAACACTCGGCTTGAATGAACTTTCCAAGAGAACCTGACCTTACATTGCAAACATGAATGTGTCCATACATTCCAGAGAACCCCCTCCATCGATCTATCAGAGAATATTACAAGATTTCAGTATGGAAGTCGTATCAGGGAGGCTATGAGACGCGAGCGTACAGGAGGGAGGAGAGGGGTGGAGAACGTGTCAGCACCTATCCAAAGCTTTTTGTACTGGTGATGAGAGCTGGATGTACAATTTTGACCCCTACACCAAGCTGCAGTCCATGGAGTGGTTGGCCAAAGGTTCCAGAAAGGCCAGGTGCCAGAGGTCATTGGGTCATTTCCTCCACCATGACAATGCCCCAGCTCACAGGGCCCATCGCACAGAGGACTTTCTGGCCAAGCAGGGGATTCAAGTTTTCAACCCACCGCTGTATTCCCCTGATCTTGCCCCTTGTGACTTTTGGTTATTCCCAAAAATTAAGGAAAAAATTGCACGGAAGGATGTTTGATGGGTGCGGAGAGCTTGAGGCGGCAGTGAAAAAGGAGCTGGAAAGGCTGGAAAAATACTAATTTCAGAGGTGTTTCGATGCCTGGATCTCCAGGCTCAAAAAATGCATTGAAGTTCATGGGGATTATGTTGAGAAATTTTGAATGAAGGGCCTTTTGAGAAAAAAAATCCTGGTCTACCATTATTATTACAGAAAAAAAGACGAATTTTTTAATGATCCCACGTACATGAATACAATGTTAGCTAAAAGAAGTAAACCAATAAAAGCAACTGGTTCAGCCCTTTGAATAGACTAACACCATCCACCTACCTTGTTTTATCATGTCATACTTGGGAGGAAATGGACTGATGGATTTAATTGCTTTTTAAAGGTGAGGGAATGATTCTTTTTAATTCATAACTTTGAGGCAAAGCATGGGACCATGTTCAAGTAAGAAGCATTTAAGAGAGCGTGGAAAGGGTTGGTTGTTTTTTTTTCATGACTATTGGAATGGACAGACTGCCTAAAGAGTTACAACTAATCCATATATTGCCTTTCTAGGGAGAGTGTGGTGCATTAAATTGTAACCTTTGTTATCAATGTCTGTTACTTTCAGCACTCAATGTTATGACCTAGATCACAACTGAATTTGTCTATAGATAGCCACTTCCAAGTCAAAATCTGACTACCTGCTAGTTTTAAGGTGTAGCGCCTGTTAAAGTCTGAATAGTAAGGTCTGTAGGTCTCGCTGAAACTGCAGCACAATTTTGCCCATTTCTTGCATGAAGATGTAAGTCCATGTAGATACAGTATTGAACAGCAATCCAGACAATAAAAACTTTAAAGCATAAAGTGATAGACATGACTGATTTTGTGTGGAGACGGTGATTTTCCTTGAATGTTTGATATTGCTGAGGCCCAATGGTGGCTTGTGATATGCAGCAGTAGTGGTTTGTCAGAGGGGACAGAGGGGGCCAGCCTCTCCTGTCTCCATTCAAGAACTACTACTGCTGCATATCATGAGCCACCACTGTTGAGGCCTCATAATAAGATAAGAGGATAAGGTTCATTAGGCACTACAACTCTTTCTAGGGAAGGGAAGTGTGGTGACTTTGAAGGATGTGAGAGGAGTTGCATCTGACTTTCTCAGTTTCTTCTCTGCCCTTCATGACCATGTCAAGACATCCTACAGTCCTCAAATTCAACATGCTATTAGCACATTGCAGGTGGGAGTGTTGGTTGGCTTGCAGATTTGATTTACAGCAAGTTAATACAGGATATCTAAGGCCCCTATCATGTTTCAGTATTTTTTCATAATTTGTTCATGAATGACACCCTGTCTTTGAACTCTATCACAATAACAGATAAGATAGCAACTAGTAGAAACAATATCAAGAGATTCTAAGGCCTGAATTCTTCATTATCCTCTATCATCAAAAGGCCCATTAAAACTAGGCTCTTCAACTTTGCATCAAAGCAGAAAGTCTGTTTCAGCTTTAATCCCATTAGTCTGTTGGGAGAGAGTCAGGATTGAAGGTTTCTCTTGTAATTTTTTCTTGAAAAAGGTGAGTTTCAGGATAGATGGGGTCCAGATAGGTCTTCCATCTTCTATCCCCAATACCTGCAAAGGGAGTATTGGGATAGAAGGAAGATGTACAGCCTGTTGCAGAAGGTTGACACATAATGCTGAGAGTGGGGATAGTAGGGAGATATGGCAATGTTTGGTGGTACTCTCTTCATTTATAATATAATTCCTAGTTGAGACCTAGACTGTAGTGGCTTGTCCCTTACTGTGACCAGAGGAAGTTTCCATATTTGAGGAGGCTATTTTGATTGGGCAGATCCACTTCTCTTCATAAGGAAGTATCTTATGTAGGGAAGTTAAAGGGCCTTCTTACAGTAGGGGAATGAGTGGCAGTGCAAATGTGTAAGGCAATGTCAGTACCTGATCAATGAACCATGTCTTGGTAACCTCATCTAAAATTGTGTCTGTCAGTGTACCACTGGAAATTTACACGTTCCTCCCATTAGGCATGAAAGTCTGCTTGCAGCTCACTTTCAGACTAGATCTGGATGCACAATTAGCCCAATGCTTTATACTGTTTCAGGTATTATTTTTTTTTTTTTAACTTGGAATAGAAAATACAGGGTGTTCATAATTTATGGAAGGGGGTTTAAAAATGTAAATCTTGAAAACCATTGGAAGTAAATTACTCAGGTTTATAGTAGACAATAGCTAAGTGCTAAACTTTTTTACTGTTTAACTTACCTATAGTAAACTTTAATGTGGACACTTTAGCTCTGCTCGCATCCAGCTGATATTCTATCTCTGTCCATATTTTCTCAAGCATTTCTGGCTGATAGTTGAAACTACTCTCTTACTCTCTCTTGTAAAACATCGAAACTAGTTACTTTTTGTCTTGTACATGATGTCTTTTACTTATGCTATCAATAAAAGCCCAGAGGGGTCATGTCAGGTGACTGGTGCTTATGGGGTTGGTCCCCTTTTTTGTGCAGCAAACTCCCAGTTTCTTGGAACTGCCTATGCCACTTTTTAATCAAGGTGTCACCTAGAGATTCCTTTTGAAAAATTTATCAATTTTGCATTAAATGAGAACCACATACTTCAATTCTGCTAACCACAAAATGTGTTGAGCATTATTGCACAGAAGCCTTGACTCAATAGGCTGTTGCAATAAATTCTTATTCTCTTGATTTCTCTCCCTCTCCCTCTCTCTCCTTCTCTGCCTTAGTCATGCACACACCAAACACACATATGAAAATCTTGTGTTTAGCTACCATCAGCTGCAAACCTGACTAGTACTTTTCAAGGTTTAAATTTTTAAAACCCCTTCAATAATGTATGAACACCCTGTATTTGAACTTCATATAAATAGGGAACTGTTCTTTGTCTGATCCTATAAGTTGTATATATGGTGCAGGTAAAAATTTTTAAATGACAAAATATAAAAATATTACATATTCAGCAAAGTTTCACCCCAGTATTGTCTAGGAGGTGAATAACTGGCAGCAAAAGGTTAAACTCTTTAGGAAGTCATGTATGAGGATGATGAGCTTGCAGGATTGTTCACAGGACTTGAGGAAGACAGTGCAGAGGATCTCATCAGAGGAGGTTTATGGAGAGGAGGAAAGATGCATGGAAAAGGAGGATCCAATGAATACTGAACTACTTCCTCCCCCTCTTTCCCATTCCCCTTCTTTGCCTTCACTCTCCCACTCATCTCCTTCTCCCTCCTCTGCTTCTTTCCCTCTCCCCTCACCACCTTCTCCCCCTCCCCTTGATTTTTGTGTTCCACTTCCTCCTCTGCCATACACTCAGGATCCTCCATCACCAACCCTCTCAATCCTGTCTTTCTACAATGTACCTCATGTGTCCCCCCTACCCATCCAGCCTCATACCTCTGACTTCACTGAAACCTCTCCTCTTCATCCTGTCTACTGTGCTTTTGTCTATATTTATGAACACGTGCGCATTTTCATGTGAGTTGGATTATACTGACACTTGTAAAATTTCTAGCCTCCCATGTTCTTTCACCCTTACAAACTTTGCTGAAGCTTATAGTTAGTTTGATATTTAGACTTCTTAAATTTAATTGGTAAAGTAGCTGCATTGGTTTCATGAGTTAGTCAGCAAAGTTGCAACGAATAGATGAATGGGATGAATGCCAAAGGCTATGTAGTTGCTTGAACTTTGAAAATTTTTATTCTCTCAAATATATCAGGTTAATTCATAAATAATTTCCATTTGTTGCCAACTGTTTTGAAACAGTTGTAACTTGTTTCAAGTTTGACGCAAGAAATCGTGTGATGATGAAAAAATGCATATTCTGCACTGCATTTTGTGGGAGTTCCAGCAAGGCTCAAATGCAACGGAGACAGTGAGGAAGAAATGCACATTCCCCGGAGAGGACACCATCACCGATCGCCAGTGCAGGAATTGGTTCGCAAAGTTTTGGTTGAGAGAATTATTGCTCATGGATGAACCACATCCTGGTTGCCCTTTGGAGTCCAATAGCGATGCATTGGAAGCGTTGATCGAGGCCAACCCGCATAAAACCCAGGTTCCCAACTTGCTGACTTTTCCAAGAGCACGAAGGTGGTGAAATATGGTCGGTTGAGAAGTACCAAGTTCTTCAGCCAATTCTTAGGTGGATTTACATGGGTTGGCCTCGATCAACGCTTCCAATGCATTGCTATCGGACTCCAAAGGGCGACCAGGACGTGGTTCATCCATGAGTGATAATTCTCTCAACCGAAACTTTGCAAACCGATTCCTGCACTGGCAATCGGTGATGGTGTCCTCTCCGAAGAAGGTACATTTCTTCCTCACCGTCTCCTTTGCATTTGAGCCTTGCTGGAACTCCGACAAAACGCAGTGCCAAATATGTGGTTTTTCATCATCCATTTTATCCCCTTATTATTTCAACATAAAATTGGAAAGACAATAAATTGCATATTATCAAAAAAGTCTACAGTTTTCTCTATTGAATGACATAACACGATTTATCACTTCAAACTTGAAACAAGTCACAATCGTTTCAAAACAGTTGGCAAAAAAACGGAAAGTATTTATGAATTAACCTGATAGTTCTCAATTTGGAGAGTGACACAATAACTTTTTTGGACTGTATGGATTGTTGAATGCAGGGCTTCCCAACCCATGGGTTCTGACTCCATTTGGTGTCGCCAAGATCATATTTGGGGTCATAAACTGGAAACTAAATGCCAAGTTATGTATAACTTTGTAATTTTAGTGCATAGGTAGGAGAGCCCATTGAACTTCAGCCAGTGCTTGAGGTCCTGAATGATACAATCTTGATTTTTTGGGTCACATGTGAAAAAGGTTGGGAAGCCCTGGTCTAATGGAAGAATGAAATGTAGCATTTGCATATTCTTCTCTCAGAAGACTTGCTCCTTAATGCATGTCATTCAGGAAGTGACTTAGATCTGGTTTCTATATAGAGCTGATTCATCCAGTTAAATTATGATTATTATTGTTCATGTTCCCTGTTGCTCAGTCATTTTCTCAGAGAACACTCCCAAGAACACACTGATAACTCCAAAGCCAACATTTTGTAGGCTTTGCACTTACAAAACATTGATTTATTTCTTTTAAGTGACCAGTTAGAAGTGTTTCTGGTGCTCTTTGGTTCTCTCTTCCTTCACTCCCCTTATCCATGTGGATCCCAGTTTGCAGGAAGACTTTGGTTTTATGGACCTTTTCTATCTATGATGTTGAGAAAATGTTTTGTTGCAGTGTACAAAGCCCTGCCAGAATAATTTTTGCACCAGATTTAAAGCAATACATTTTATATGGGAATCTTGGTGGAAAAAGACTACAGAATGCATCCAGACAAATTAGTATCATGCAGACCCTTTATTTTTACCATGAGTGCTTGAACTTATATGTGTTCTGACTATTTCACAGTGGTAGTGATTTCAGGTTTCCTGCTACTTTGGTAGGAGTTCTAATTAACCTGGCAGGGCTCAGTACTTTCCTTTGATGGTGTCATTAGGATGATCAAAATAAACCAAACCACCTTTCAGATTTTGTGCAAAAGTTTTGGTATATTGATGATATGTTACACTGCAGGCTGAAGTTGACTAGTATTCTATTTATACAGATACCTGTCAGATTAGATTGAACACCCACCAAAGTAGTTGAATGTAAAGGGTGAATCAAAAGTTCTTCCACCTTTTGACTCTTAAGTCATAAATGAGGTGCTGGATTGTGATCTGATTCAGATCCTTTGAAAGCCAGGAATATTTTCTATGTGGTCCTTTTTGTTTAATTTTGAAAAAGAACATGTTAAAGCTACAAGTATCATTTGAACAATGACTGAGGGATTTTCATTTCTGCTGTTACAGACCTTATCAACATTCCAGGTCCTTCCTATTGATCAATTCAAAATTGCTTTTATACAGACTAGTTTGTGAACATACAAAGCAGAGGTTTGCTACTCTTCTCTTGGGTCAAAATTCACACTGATATGAACGTGGAAGACGGTTCCTTGACACATCTCTTTGCGAATTGTCTTGTCATTTCTGTTGCATTCTGGACATGTCAAAATTAAACTGAATTTCCTACATGCCTATATATCTATTTGACATTTTCAGTCATTTTCCTCCATTTTCTTTGGGTTGTAGTCATGAAGTAATGTGCATGTGTAATTTCAGATGTGAAAACATTTAAGAAATTCTCAGGAAAAAAAGAAACTTATTTATGATATAGAAAAAGAGATATGACTGACAAAACATGAAAACATCTCTAAATAGTGAATTTTTTCTTTTCAAATGGTATAAACTATATCTCAGCCTGGTCAAGCTTTTCAAAGTTATGAATGTTCAAAGGTGGGCAGGACTTTAGACTCACCCTATATAATATCTAAGTTATCATCGAGGAATCAGTATGTAAACGTGTTCAAGAACTAAAGGATAAATATGAGGAACCTACAGAATACTGTTGCATCTAGAGACATTCTGTATTCTTCATGATAATTCCCTTATTAGTTTTTTTATATTGTGCTCAAGTTATCCTGACAGGGCTCTGCACTAATATCTAATTTATGAGCTCTTCAATGGCATTGGAATAGGATCTAAATTTACATCATCTACTCAGGATGCTTATAATTTGTGTTTTTATGATTATTATTATAGATCCTATTTTTTAGTTTATTCCTATGAAATTGAAAAAGATGACATTATGCAGACACCTACAGAAATGCTGAAATAATGTGATAGACCTTACATCTGGTTTCTTTTTTTCAGTGAAAATATTCTGCATGTGTTGAAGAAACGGAATGTACCAGCTGCGGATATCATGGACCCACTCCCAAGTGTAGATGATTGCATTCAATTTGCTCCAATCCTACAGAAGTCTGTTGAGTCCCTTGTAGAACATCTACACAAGTGAGTTGCTGCATCTAGGCAAGATTTCATGCATCATCAGTTGGATTGAGATTTTTATCTAAATTCCTTTTTTTTTTTCTCTGAAGCTGTATTTTTCTCCCATGGAAGCTATGAGTTTAACACTTTTGATCCAACGGGCATAACTATTCATCCAGTCCTAACTCCCATCAGATGACAGTGGACGTGATAGTCCATCCTTTTAAAATTTTCTGATATTGAAATAATTTAACACAATAAAACAGAGAACTTATACTTGAATTTCCCAAAAAGGAGCAAGTCTATCATCTTGTATTCTGAAGTTATGAATTTTTGGTAGACCTAAAAATAACCTCAGTCACCAACCCTCTGGAGCCAAAGTGTTAAAAAAGAGTCTGTATACAAAATTGATTGTGCATTTTTTGCATATATGCCATATAATACTGGCTGCATAAAATGCCTATCTGAGTCATTCAGAAGGTAATTGTATATTTTCACTCTGGTATGATGAAAAATGAAAGTCATTAAAAAAACAAAGATTTTGTGGACTACCTATCTTCCCAATCTCAGATATGTACCTTTTTTTTTCACCCATCTTCTTACCCCTCCTTCCCAAATCAGTGTGAAGAGAGAGGAATGGGGTGGCATGTGTTCTGTGCAGGGACACCTGAAACCCAGATCCTGCTCTGTGTGCTTCAGCAAAAGTTTCTGCTTGCCAATTACTTTTATGAATCCAGGTCAGAATGAATGAAGAAATGTGTGCTGTGCTTGCTTGTGTGTGCTTTGCACCACCATCTTTTTGCCTTTTGATATAATGGTTTTTTTGCATATTTTATGAATTGATTACATATATTCTGATTTTTTTTATGTGCATATTTCCAGGATTTTCTTGGATAAAAATCCTAGCTATAATCATTGGATGTGGTATCCTGATCTTTTTTTTTTTAGATTCCTGACTGAAGCCAGGTCATCATCAGCTGAGTCTCTAGCTGAACTTATGAATGGGTTTTTTCCTGGCCTCGGTCTGCCAACACTAGTCCAAACTAACTATCATATCGCCCCGAGTCAGCTCCTTGAGTACATTCAAGAATGTGACCATTGGTGAAAATAGTTCCATATTTTTATTCTATTATCTAAGTTGAATATCCACTGTATGTATTGAATGAATTTTTCAGGCAAAAACTTGAAGCAGGGGTGGAGCAATTCAGGGATTTCAATGTGATGCTCCTGGGTGCAACTTCAGATTGAGATTGCACAAGTGGATAGAGTGATATTCAGTGCCTCAGAAATTTGGTGCTCATTCCTTGATTTTCTTTCTTCTTCAATTGTTAATTGAAATGAAACCCCCTAATCTTTTTGGGTAGTTGTGCAACAATATTGAAATGTAATGTGATGTAGTTACCTATTATGAAAACCTGATAACCAGTCAAGGTTACCTGATAGGTATAAGAAGAAGATCTGGTAAAATAAGCATAAATGGCTTGGAAAAGCTAATCAATCCTGTGCACAGACATAATGACAGAAATCATCAACCTTCTGTAAGATTTATGACCATAGTTCAATTTTCTCCAAAGGTTAAACTTAGGTGCATATTTAAAGGAAACAGTTACCTGTACCACCTTTGTAGCCAGTAGCTGATGAATAAATATATCATGGTTACCAATAAAATATTGTTGCATCTCTTAGTTTTGGGGAAGTACTGTGATGATGCCTTTCTTCTTTCCCTCCATCCTTCTTAAATGTGATATGTCTTCCCATCTGTGAATCTCTCAACTCTTTTGGAAAAGTCCTTTCTGCTGGTGAGAATTTGGATATTAAGGACTCCTTGTGGACTGAGGAAGAGAATGTGCATTCCTCATTCTCTTGCTATTCCATTACCCTTGTGAAGGAATGAGAAAATATTACTAGATCCCCTCCTGTTAAATTGCTGGAAATGCAATGATGTTAATCATGATTCTTAGCCCAGACTTCAATGTAGTATTTCTTCTTTGTCTCTTCCAATTCTGCAATTTATTTTCTGAAGATAGATAACAAGGAGTATTAGGTGTACTGGATAGACATGAGAATAGATTCGTGAAGTTGGCACTTTGTGCTTCTGATTTTCATCCCTACAATGCTTCCCCTTCTTTTTTGAAAGGCTGTTTGAAGTAGATTTGCCACCATTTTCATTCATGAAACATCTTTGATAGATGAAATGGCATTTTCAGGGAGCTGCAACTGGGTTTTATGTAATTGCTGCAGGTCATGTCAAATTAATAATAATCAACCAATTGAATGAATCAGCAGCCTTAGGAATGGCATTGAATCAGTTGTTGGTCAGTATGTAGTTTGTGTGTAAATTTTTCCTCTGGTAAAGAGGCATGTGTGGAGCTATGTCAGAGGATGGCAGTTGATTCACTGTTGAGACCAGTTCCTTTTGCCTTTCTGACCTCTTTCTTCCATGCCCTGAGACTACCTCCAGTATTGCATGGCCAAAGTCATATGAGGGTGCCATCTGGGACCAAGCGATATGATCCGGACTGTGTTTGGAGAAAAGTCAATCATCTATTGATTCCTGTATCTTCAGGATCTCTTAAACACCATCACCTTTTTTAAGTATCAGTATTTTTGTGGTCATTGAAAAAGGGTCAAAGAGGAAGAAAAAAAGATCACCTATGTTCAAGAGTGCTTTTGTCAGAGAGGTTGTCACTCCTATTAGGGATTTGGTTTTTGTTTTTGGAAAGCTTAGTTCTTACTACCTCCAGTTCTCCTTATCCTTGTGGGATGGATGCATGTCCTCCATTCATTCCAATGCAAATTCTTTCTCCTCATTCCACAGAGATGCCACATTCTTCTATGAACCAAATAAAACTTTTTTTGTTAGAACCAGGGTGTTTGCTTTCATTTATAAGGCACAAAAAGCCCACTTTCACATGGCCTTTTTGATATCAACATGAAAACAGTTTGAGGTTGCTGATAGAAAGAGACCATATTGAGTTGAATAAAATGGAATTTGAATGAATTCCACTCCTTTCATTTTCACCCTGGTTGCTCAAAGATAAAGCCAATTAGAAGACGTGAGGCAACCTTTAGTTACTTGCTGATATTGTGTTTTACTTCGTTTCTATTAACAAACTGTTTTGAGAACATCTTGGCAAGGAAACCCTTTTCACCATCCATCTATGAAGGAATGAATGTGTGACTTCACTTCAAAATATTTTTTCTTGCTTATTACTCACTGCATTCCCACAGTCAGTCTTTGTTAGTAGTCACAAACCATGGATGAAAGAACAAAGTCTGAAAGTATAAATTAAAGGAATTTTTTCGCATTATACAGGGTGTCCCATATGTCCCTATACTGCAATATTTTACAGACTGCAACATGCACGTCACTGTTGTTGGTGTTGATGGAAAGAATGCTCTTTAGAATTTTTTTCATGACAAAGACTTTGAATCAGGAAACTCAAATGGAAATAGCTTCTAATACATATTAGAAAGGAGTACTTGTTTAGGGACATTTTTGGTACGGGTGATTCCATGTCAGATCGACCAATTTTCCCGTGATTTCTAGGTCGACCATCACCGATTTCGCTGAAATTTGGTGAGGAGGTAGCGTTTGGTCCAAAAGCGGGAAATCCAAAATATTTTTTTTTC